CTGGGCAGCAGCTGTGTGTCTGTGCTGCGGCTGGGCAGCAGCTGTGTGTCTGTGCTGCGGCAGGGCAGCAGCTGTGTGTCTGTGCTGCGCGCGGCGGCACATTTGAATTACACCGGGCAGCGGCACAATATGAACTGAAGACTCGGGTCTAACTCATGGTCTAACTAACCTTCTTTAACAGAAAATAAAATGGCAACAACAGGGCTTGGCAGTGGTCGCACTCGCGTTAACCGAATAGTCTGCGCGAGTGAGTGATAAATTGTGCACTCGACGGGTAATAATGGATTATGACGGAAATGTTACGATCCTGTCCGTCAAAATGACAATGCGATATTTGGGCCCATTTTCGCTACAATGAGGCGGAGAAAAAAAGCGAATGCATTGTTTTATCAGAAGGGAAGCAATGTGGCCACAGCTGGTAAAAACACCACAAACCTGACCAGATACTCTCTGCAAAGCTTCTTAATCATTCAACCTGTGTTTGTCATCAAATAAAGACAAGATATAATCTTATTGTGAAATAAGTTTGACTAAAATGACAAATTATTGGTTTTGGCTAGTTTGACTGAAATGTTCTAAATAAACTGATGACTAAAAAAGACTCAACAGTTTTCATTGACAAAAAGTAGACTAAAATAATTAGTTTTCTTTGACTAAAATAAGACTAAAATGCTCGACTTGACTAAATAAAAACAGGATGAAGGTGACTAAATATGACTAAAACTAAAAAGGAAATTTAACACAGGACTAAGACTAAAACTAAATAAAAAAAATAGCTGACGAAATTAACACTACATCAAAACAAACACAAAATAGCATAGACATTAAGATTAAAGGTATAACTATATTTATAAAACGGATAAGTCAAATCAAGCAATCTGATTGGTTCTTAGCCGTGATATAATGAGCGTATATCACAGGTAGAATTGTAGTTACTTTAGTCGTATCCCTCTGCGTCTGAGAACAAGTTACAACTGTTACATTACGTCCGTTACGAAACTAACTAACAAAGCTTAAGATGGAAACATTTAAGGTTAACTTTGACTCCGCTTCGTGTCGGGCCGAACAACGCCCCTTAGCTGCGATATGATGACCATATACCACGGCCTGTCGTGAGCTATTGTTTAAATATATAATGCTCTTAAGTTGCAAAACATGCAGAAAACACACTAAATGTAGCTCAGACACAAAAAGCTGCTTGTGAAGTTAACTGTTAATTTTCCTCGATGTGTTTTCCAGATTCCTTTCCATGAATTAAAGTGTATATTTCCAAACAATGGTTAAGATGTCCCCTCATGACAAACCCTTTTCCATGTTTCAGGCGTTTCTCTGCAGACGTACCTGCCCGACGTCAAAGAGCTGCTGGAGCTGGACGAGCTGAGCTCTCTGAAGTCCAAACCCTACTTTGAGTTCGTTCTTCGAGCAAATTATGAACATTACCTGGAGGCTCAGATGTGAGGAATGTTTCAGAAACACCTGCTTCAGCTTTCCTATGTTTGAATATGTTTGTGCTCTTTTCTAAATAAATGTGTTGTTATTTCTGTATTAAGATCTCTGTCTTTTTCTCATTCTCTCTCAAAGATTTCCTCAAAAAGCAAAACTGGAATTTCAGCTTCAGTTTGATGGGTACTGGTTAAGAATTTACCTCCCTATTTTTAAGACAACTTAGTGATTCAAAAGAATCCCTAATACCTACGAAGGGTAGGCTAAAATAACAATAAATACAATACACTGTAATAGACCAATCTATTAATAACAAACACATTAACATAGGATAATTTAAACATTAAACAAGTGAGTAAAGTCGTTTTAAATTACAATTTAAATAAAATGAGGTATAGTGCAAGTAACATATGTACACATTATTCAGGGTTATTGAAATGGAAACATGTAAAATAGAAGTTTAATATCTTTTGTTTTGGGATTTAGCTTTAATTACCGTTTACCTTGGCTTCTTTCCGTCTGATATCAGAGCGTTGTGCTACAGAGTGACAGAAACCTGACTGTCCTCTCAGAGTTGAGAGTCAGGACTTCTTCCTGTCGGGTGACGAGCGGCAGATGTTGGTTATAAATAGATTGGCTGCCACCCTGAGGGGATCCTCCGTGATGATTATCCACTCTTAGATACAGCGGCTGCAGATGGCTCTCAGCGTCCAGCTCGGCTAAAAATAGTGAATAAAGGTTAGTTTAGGGAAATCAGCTCCACTAAAAAATGTAATCCTTAAAGAAAAAAACATAACTCAGTCTTATCCACGCAGATAGCTGACGAAACGGGAGTAATGACTTAAAAACTCACTTAATATCGGTTTCCTTTTGATGTATAAAGCTCATAAATTCATATAAATTAACAAACTGTCATTTAGTAATTGTATTTACTTTTTTTATATTCATCATTTATCACTGGTACACATTTTGTAATTGTTCTATATTTACTATTCTTTTAAATGTATCTTACTGTTTTATGTATGCACCGTTATAAACCAAACCAATGTCTTTGTATGTGAAATTGGCGATAAAGCAAACATTTCATAAAAACAAGTAATAGAATAATATGCCCAAACAATGTAATGTAAAAAATAGTAAACTATAAAAATGTATTGAATAGTTTTCCATAATAATGTCAAAAGAACGGCATACTACATTTCTGTAATGAAAATCCTAGAAGTGTAATGAAGTATGTCGAAGCCGAGCTCAAAGGCTGCGATGAAGACCAGACAAGAAGTGATAAATAAGCATTTTTATTTACAGAATGACCAATGAGAACACACTTTGATAGCCGGTGTAAAGTGTCTGAAACAAAAGGAAACGGCAGCTGCGTCACAGAAAGGAGGAGGAAGCAGATTCTGTGGGAATCCCAACGGCAGGTGAGGGTCATCAGGCTGAAGCAAGAGGGGGGGGCTGGATGTCATAACAAGTCATTCAATGTAATAAAATATCAAGTATAGTATGTCCTAAATAAATGGTTTGAAAATACCTCGTGTTTTAATATGTCATAACAATTTCTTATATCACTATGGGTCACTAAGAAAGTAATTAAAATGTCATGAACAAATACATCTTATCGTACAGAATCAGGTGTAGTATATCATAAAGAAATGGCAAACAAAACCTCATGTTTAAATATGTCATAAAAGGTTATTGTGTAGTTTACCACACAAAGTATTTAGTCGGCTTTATAAAGATTTCATGTCGTAAAAAAATCTCATAATGTCTTAGTACAGTACGTCCTAAAATAAATCTCATTAAGTCATAGTCACTTTTACTGTACACTCATTATATATGATTTTTTATGAAAGAATACAAAATAAAAACACCAAAGTATGACATTAAAAAACTAAGTACGTAGAAGTCATAAAAGCTTATAATAAATGGCACAGTATAATATATAGCATAGCAGGTCTTAAAGGAGTCATACTGGGCTTAATTAGTAATGAAAACATGTCAGAATTTAGGATGCAATTCTAAAGATTCTGAAGAATAGTCACGAAAAATCAAGTAAAGTAATAATAATAATTATAGATTTATTTTGTAAGCGCTTTTACAGGTGCTCGACGTCGCTTTACAGAGATAGTGAAAAGAAAAGAAGAACAAATAAATATAGTTAAAGTGAAATTAAAATCAAGCAATACAACAACAATCACACATTAAAAGCCAGATTGAAGGGGTGAGTTTTTTTAAGGTGGTGAGGAGTAAAGTGTTTTTTTAAGGTGGTGAGGAGTAAAGTGTTTTTTTAAGGTGGTGAGGAGTAAAGTGTTTTTTTAAGGTGGTGAGGAGTAAAGTGTTTTTTTAAGGTGGTGAGGAGTAAAGTGTTTTTTTAAGGTGGTGAGGAGTAAAGTGTTTTTTTAAGGTGGTGAGGAGTAAAGTGTTTTTTTAAGGTGGTGAGGAGTAAAGTGTTTTTTTAAGGTGGTGAGGAGTAAAGTGTTTTTTTAAGGTGGTGAGGAGTAAAGTATGTCTTAAAGAACTCATAGTATATATGTAATGGGAAAAATCTCCTATAAAAGGTTTTAGTACGTCATTAAAAAGTCAAGATATACTGTAGCATTGAATACAAAATCCCCCAAAAAAGGTCAAAATGTCATAAAGTGTGTTACCATAAAAATCTAGTATAGAATGCTATGAAGACATTCCTTTAAAAAAAAAAAAAGGTATGTCAAAATGCCATACATAATCTCATAATAATGGTAGTAGTATAGTATGTAATGCAAAATATCATAGTATAGTAAGTTCTTTAAAAGAATGATGTCACACGGTACAGTCTCTAAAGGGACTGCAGGTTCAGAAATGTTGAGTTTACGTCACCGTTCTCTTCTGGACGGACGAGCCTCTGAGATCCAGACACCTCTCAGTATCAGCTGGATAAACACTGGAGAAACACTGTGGGCTCAGTGTCTCTGTCTCTGGTTCCTCAGAGCAGCTGTCCCGTGTGTTGGGGGTCCTGACCCTCATTTTAGAAACACAACGTCATCAGCTGCTGTGTGTTGTTGATGTTCGAGCTTCCAGCTGAGCAGCATGACCTCTGTGCAACCAATGATAAGATCTCAGGGTGTTAGATGTAAAAATACACCTGAAGTCATGACGAAAATAATATTAGTTCATGTATTATATCAAAGTGTATTCAATGAGCCAACTTGATGATAGGAATCTGATTGGCTGGCAATAGCATATTTAAAGGAACTAGTCTGTCATAAACTTGAGCGTTTTTATTTTAATAGCTACTTTTTAAAGTTGTGTGTGTGTGTGTGTGTGTGTGTGTGTGTGTGTGTGTGTGTGTGTGGTGTGTGTGTGTGTGTGTGTGTGTGTGTGTGTGTGTGTGTGTGTGTGTGTGTGTGTGTGTGTGTGTGTGTGTGTGTGTGTGTGTGTGTGTGTGTGTGTGTGTGTGGTACTGGTAGTAGTAGTAGCTCCATACACGGGCTCGAGCGCTCAGCGGTGGGCTCGCGGGGGCTTCCTCTCCATATATGGTCATCCCGGCGCGCCTTCACTCTCCATACAGGAGACCAAATATGGCCGCCGGACCGGTTGAATTCCTGCCGAATACTTTGGCATTCCTAACGGCTGTCTGGAGAGGGAGAGAAAAAACTCTCACCCCAGGAGGTATGGAGAAGAAGAAGAAGTATATAAGGACCCCGGTGGTGGGTGTCATTCACCGTCTTTATCTGGAACCAGCAGCCGTTAAACTTCTTCACTGACAACCGGAGAAAAGCAAAGGTAAGCGGCTCAGAGGAGCGGGATGGAGGGGTGGGGAGAAGGAGACTGTTAGAATTAGCAGTTTATTTAATGCAGTCTGGCTTTTTGTAAATGTTAATAGGTGTAACAACTGGAGAATAACCCCAGACTGAGTTGTTAACTGACGGCAGTTGGCAGTAAACCGCAATCTGTTCACTTAAACTTTCATCTGTTAGAAAGAAAACTGCTTCTATCTGTTGTGACAGGACCTGACGCATTCAGGTGCTGTGGGATTTATTTGATTGTTTCGTTGAAATGGCAAAAACATGACAATCCTGAATTTTCTAAATGCAGTAGTAGTGAAATGAGTTTTGAAATCAGATTTGTATTCATTTATATACCACTGAGCAGCTTGATCTGTAATTATACATCATTATTTTTTGTTAACGTTATCTAACAAATGTAGAGAAGCAAAGTACTTTTAAATAGTACCTTAGTTCAGTACTTTAATAAATGTACATAGTTACCAACAACTATTGTACAAATCTAATGTTGTGTGTACCATGTTAGCTAGCATATACATTTATATATACATTTTGTGATTTAAAATATATTCTCTTTTTCGTTTTCCAAAAAGCCAAGATTCAAATAAAATAAAATAGCCATGGGAAAATAATCATATCACGTTTGTAAATAAAAGTTGGTTACATATGGGTAACATTTGACAAAGTTTTAAGAGTACATTAAGCCTGTTTCGGTTTTGATATTCCTTAAAAAATAGCACTTGGATGAGCGATTGTAGTTAAAGTATCAGATGTACGAGTTTATGAGGAGCACTTAAACGCATCATTACTGCAGGGGGAGATAAAGTAATTATCCTTTTATTATTGAAAGTAATAATAATTTTATAATTTATAATTTAAATGGAACAGGGAGTTTCTGTTGGTGTGTTGATCATCACACTCCACAATTGTTAGAAAGTTAATAAAATATAACATATTAGTACATATTAATAGTAATAACATATGCATTTTATCTTTAATTGTCATCCTTAAACAGAACAACACCACAGAGGTCTGTCTGGGGTTTAACAAAATATAACGATAGGCAGAAAGTGAATTACTTTACATCAAAAAGAGTTGTTTTTTGAAACTTTAATGATAGTTTTAGGAGCTGCAGACTCGTTTTTGGTCAGAAATAATACAGTTGGCAACAAATACCTTTGATTGAGACCTCTGAAAGGTGTTATATATAGAAGTGTATCATTGTCATTATTGCAACCATTCGTTATTAGGATTGAAATATTATGTCAAACTACATGATGGTGAATTATTTGTGAATGTACCCAAACATCACATATCCTAAACTAAACACAGTTGCAGTATTTTATTTGAGAAAACGAGTCAATATTCTAGTATGTATACATGTTGCCCCCCCCCCCTACTGTATCTGCTGCACAACAACTCACCACCTCCTCATTTCCTCCTCCAGAAGCCGCAGACATGTGTGACGATGAAGAGACCACCGCCCTCGTCTGTGACAACGGCTCCGGCCTGGTGAAGGCTGGCTTCGCAGGAGACGACGCTCCCAGAGCCGTCTTCCCCTCCATCGTGGGCCGCCCCCGCCACCAGGTACACAAGAGCATCCCTAAAAAACAATATCATACATAAGATTTGTTCATTTAATCCCTTGATAAAAACAAGGTCTGATCCTAAAGTTTTTAGCTACCTTATCTTATATATCAATATGCTTATTTCATTATGTGACTGATTAAAACACTTCCAGTAGTTAACCAGCGAACCAAGAGGTTAAAGTCAGCTTTGTTTCGGTGCTTGGTATTCTAATGCAGATTTCTATGACCTTATGACCTTTTATCTGCTGCCACCTTCAGGCCAAAGTATTATTTTTCTCGTTGACTGAAATTAGGACCTATACGAGCACATGTTACCATATTGAGTCTTTTTTTGATTTGATGAGTCATTTTAATCTAACTGATAAAAACATTTTAATCTCAGCGTATATTGTTTTAGCACAAAGAATGTCCAAATGCAGAATAGATGGACTAAGGATGTAACTAAGAAATAAAAGTACTTATATTTCTCATTTCAAGAGCTTTAGTGAAAAATGAACATAACTGTTTGTGAAGAGAAAAAATAAATAAATATAGGGTAGTCTGCACTGTGTTAGAAATGATAAAAAATATATATGTTTGAAGATATATCATTAACATCTCGTCATATCTTCACGCTGTAATTGCAACTGACTATTTGGGACCAATAAGTAAACATTATTGAACTAAATCACTGAAGTCTACAGCAGAGTTGTGCAGCGTATTACATGTTAACGGCCTTGTACTGAGTGTATCCTCATAGTTATGAACCTTTAAATAACCTGTGTGTCCCCCCCCTCAGGGTGTGATGGTGGGTATGGGTCAGAAGGACTCCTACGTGGGAGACGAGGCCCAGAGCAAGAGGGGTATCCTGACCCTGAAGTACCCCATCGAGCACGGCATCATCACCAACTGGGACGACATGGAGAAGATCTGGCACCACACCTTCTACAACGAGCTGCGCGTGGCCCCCGAGGAGCACCCCACGCTGCTCACTGAAGCCCCCCTCAACCCCAAAGCCAACAGGGAGAAGATGACCCAGATCATGTTCGAGACCTTCAACGTTCCCGCCATGTACGTCGCCATCCAGGCCGTGCTGTCCCTGTACGCCTCCGGACGTACCACCGGTGAGTCTGCTGTCTACAACTGACGTACTTTAAAAAAGATCCCCAACTATTTGAATTCATTTTCACGCGATTATTGCAGAAAATGACTTCTCAGACTCTCAAATATGGAGATTTCCTGTTTTTCTCTCTTTTATATAATATTAAATTGGACATCTCTGGGTCTGACTGTTGAAGACATTCAAAGACATTACTTTGGACTCTGAGAAACTGGGATGGATGTTTCTCACCATTTCATGACATTTTAAAGACCACACGATAAATATGATTTGTAAATAATTATTATAATGAGTTACTTGAGTCAAATGTATTGGCTTTGAACAGAAAAGGCTGACATCTGTCACTATTCTTAAAGCAAAAGGCACCATTTATTTTCCAATTTCAGCTTCTCTGAGGTCAGGATGATGAAGTGCCTTTCTTTGTTTTGTATCATGATAATTGAATATTTTCTAGTTTAGGGAAAGTTGGTCAAACAAAACTAGACACGTTGAAACTAAACAATCCAGCTATTCCAGCAATCAGGCTAAAATAGACTTTATAAGACTTTTTAAAAGAGATATTAAGTTAGAAGTTGTTATTGAGAGCATTAAGTGTTTGATTGATTGAACCTCTCACCAGTCAAAGTCAACTTTATTGTCAATCTTTCAGTTTATGTGTACAGACAATTACACAATCCCACAGACTGGATATGACACCTCTTCCTCGCTGTTAACCCTCTTCTTGTGTTCTCTCTCAGGTATCGTGCTGGACTCTGGAGACGGTGTGACCCACAACGTCCCGATCTATGAAGGCTACGCTCTGCCTCACGCCATCATGCGTCTGGACCTGGCCGGTCGCGATCTGACCGACTACCTCATGAAGATCCTGACAGAGCGCGGATACTCCTTCGTCACAACCGGTAAACACAGCCCATCAGCACGAAACACAGCGGGACTATTCTAGTTTAACACCTGAAACCCAGACGCACGTTAGCTGTAGACATGAACCGTTTTCATTCTATTAGCTATACAGAAATGTGAAGCAGGTTTTTACCATATTTGTCCCTAAAAGCAAAAGTATACTGCTAAAATACAACACATTGCTTTTTGAATTAATGAAAAGAAAGGAAATTATTCACGTTATTCTTTTATTAATCGTATTTAACTGAACACAAAATGGGGCTATCAAAAATAATGTTATTTCAATTTTAAAGTGCACTTTCTACAGATACATTTACAACAAAAACACTGAAATATCCCAAAGTTTGACCATTAAAAGAAACATTATATTGTGCAGCCTAAATCTAAACACTGATACCTTTTGACAGTAGTTCAATAAGATGTATACAGCGTTCTTTGTATTTCTTTGGGCACAAAGTCTGACCTTTCCTCTCTGTTTCCAGCTGAGCGTGAGATCGTGCGTGACATCAAGGAGAAGCTCTGCTACGTGGCTCTGGACTTTGAGAACGAGATGGCCACCGCCGCCTCCTCCTCCTCTCTGGAGAAGAGCTACGAGCTTCCCGACGGTCAGGTCATCACCATCGGCAACGAGCGTTTCCGCTGCCCAGAGACTCTCTTCCAACCCTCCTTCATCGGTGAGTGAACTGCCAGAGGTGGGAAGTAGTGGAGTACAAATACTTCGTTACTGTACTTAAGTACATGTTTCTGGTATCAGTACTTTACTACGACGACTTATTTTTCTGACTTTGACTTCTTACATGTTGAAGTACCTGTACTTTCTACTTCTTACATGTTGAAGTACCTGTACTTTCTACTTCTTACATGTTGAACACAAATACCTGTACTTTCTACTTCTTACATGTTGAAGTACCTGTACTTTCTACTTCTCACATGTTGAACTCAAATACCTGTACTTTCTACTTCTTACATGTTGAACACAAATACCTGTACTTTCTACTTCTTACATTTTGAACTCAAATACCTGTACTTTCTACTTCTTACATGTGAACACAAATACCTGTACTTTCTACTTCTTACATGTTGAACACAAATACCTGTACTTTCTACTTCTTACATGTTGAACACAAATACCTGTACTTTCTACTTCTTACATGTTGAACACAAATACCTGTACTTTCTACTTCTTACATGTTGAACCCAAATACCTGTACTTTCTACTTCTCACATGTTGAACTCAAATACCTGTACTTTCTACTTCTTACATGTTGAACACAAATACCTGTACTTTCTACTTCTTACATGTTGAACTCAAATACCTGTACTTTCTACTTCTCACATGTTGAACACAAATACCTGTACTTTCTACTTCTTACATGTTGAACCCAAATACCTGTACTTTCTACTTCTCACATGTTGAACACAAATACCTGTACTTTCTACTTCTTACATGTTGAACTCAAATACCTGTACTGTACTTTTCTACTTCTTACATGTTGAACTCAAATACCTGTACTTTCTACTTCTCTCATTTTCCAAACAGCTGGTTCCTTTAGTCTGAATGTGTGTTTGATGCGTGATCATTATTCTTTAGAGTCATTGCGTGCCTATTGATTTGAACACGATCCGTGTATCCATCATTTCCTGGTCTTCTCTAAAGAAGAGGGACCAATGGAAACGTTGTCATGTTGCCGTTGTTCAGCATGGAAACATTCATTAGCTAACAATGACATTATTGTTCTATTAATATAAAGGGAGGTCAGTTACTCTTTAAAAGCAGCTGCTAGTTATGGGTACTTTTTACTGAAGTACATTTCAAAGCCTCTTTACTTTTACTTGAGTAAAGAAGTTTAGTCAGTACGTCTACTTTCACCAGAGTATTTTTAAACACGAGTATCTGTACTTCTACTTGAGTAAAGGATGTGTGTACTCTTGCCCTCTCTGTGAACTGCTAATGAAGGGATGAAAGAAGAGGGATTAGATCAGGGCGGTCAAACTCATTTGAGTTCAGGGGCCACATACAGCCGAATGTTAGTTAGTGGGCCGGACCAGTCAAATCATAGCATAACAACCTATACATAATTACGGTACTCCAAATTGTTCCTTTTGTTATAGTGCAAGAAAGTACATGCAATGATAACAAAACATTATGAAGAACCTGATGTTTTTAAAGAAAAATAGGTGCAATGTTGTCATTTATGCATTTACGCATTATCTACAAAGGAACATCGTCATCGGTTTCTGGAACTGAGCAGTATCGTATTTTACTTTATGATCAAAATAACTTGTAGAAATCTAGAGATTATTTTTTACATTCATTTCCACATCTGTGTAGTAATCCTGACACACCACCATACAAACTAAAGTGGGAACTGTTATGGAAGAAGGATTAGTTATAAATGTATGCATACAAAATACAGTTAAGACTTCTCTGTCATTCTTACACTTAGCAAAGTCCTTTTTGAGTCCTCTGTCTCCGATGCTTTCCCCTCTGTAGTCCTCTCAGCTCTAACCTGAATGTCTCTTCTGAACAGGTATGGAGTCTGCAGGTATCCATGAAACCGCCTACAACAGCATCATGAAGTGTGACATCGACATCCGTAAGGACCTGTACGCCAACAACGTGCTGTCCGGCGGCACCACCATGTACCCGGGTATCGCTGACCGCATGCAGAAAGAGATCACAGCTCTGGCTCCCAGCACCATGAAGATCAAGGTAAACAACTCTACACTAAACTATGGGCGTTAATCACAATACCATATTATATTGAGTCTTTGGAAAACCATACAATACTTCCTGATGTCACATAGTTTGCCACGATAAGACTTTGTTACAAATAAATGTAGGGGTTTGTCATCCATATAAGATGTTACACTAAGCCCATTTAACATATTAGTTTAATTTATAACAACTTAAATAAAGCAACTAAACTATGATTTGACAATTGACAACTGGGCTTTTTTAGACAAATAAAAATTAACTAAGTTCTTTTTTTTGAGCAAGCATGAACTCAAGCTTCTGAAAGTGCTCAGAAAAAGGCCAAATATGTTGCTATTTTTTTTGTTGGTGGTTTTTGTATATTTCAGATACTCTGCCTTTTTACAAAAACTGTTTTTTTTATAATTTATATTTCTTTGCAACTAGACAGCAATTTCCCCAAGGATAATTCAATCTAATTGAAGAGCTTTTACCAATTCGACCTTGCAGTGAAACTATTTAATCATAATAAATCTGCCTATTATCTTCCCTTTAAAACGTCTTAAAATCACAAAGCAATTCATTTTAAAACCTGGAAACTCATTGGCTGATTAAGTCATCTCAGAATCAGTGCAATCATCGACCTGACTGTTATAAAAAGGATATCATTTGTTTTGCTATGGGGCATTAAAATCCATCATGGATGTTGCCCCTCGTATCTGTGACATGTGTGTAGTAACGTGTGCATTGTATTGTTCTCTTATATCCTTTCGCCTATATCTACTTGTCTTTCATCCTTTCTTTATAACTAATGCTGTATTGTGATTCAAACAAGGTGTCATTATCATCACTGGACAACAGCTGGAAATTAGCATGTTAGCTAAAACTGCCCCATTTACTGTTTGTTGTGACAGTTGATCGATGGGGACGGTCCACGACACTATAAACAAATACACTAAACCTTCTCCTCCGCAGATCATCGCCCCTCCTGAGCGCAAATACTCCGTCTGGATCGGTGGCTCCATCCTCGCCTCCCTCTCCACCTTCCAGCAGATGTGGATCAGCAAGCAGGAGTACGATGAGGCCGGTCCCTCCATCGTCCACAGGAAGTGCTTCTAAACCCGCCTCCACGACCCCTTCAGGATCCAGAGCAAAGAGACGCCGGAATAACATCCTCTCTGTAACCAGATCCGTGGCGTCTGACCTGTACATATGTTATTTATTCCTTCTGTTTTGTATGTGAAGTTTTTTTTAATGTAAATGATGTCCAGTGACACAAAAACAAAACAAAGAAAAGACCAAAAAAGAAACCAGACAAAACAAATAAAGTCCATTTATTTTCACGTATGACTCCTCTCTGTTATTGTACACTTTAAAGGTGGGTTAGACCGAATAAAGACATCCAGATATAATGATATCATATTAAGTTCATGTTGAAAGCCAGGGGTGAAGGAAGAAAGATATTTGACTCGAGTAAAACTATCCTCCCACAGTGTAGAAATACTCAATTAAAAGTCCTGCATTCTGTGCTATACATTAATGTTAGAAAAATATCACTGGTCCCCGGCTTGAGCTTCAATCTCAGGATCCATGTGTCTGTGATCCTCTCCAGAATGGAAGTAGTCATCAACTAGTTCCTGAACAGTGTCCTTCACATGCTGATATCCAAGAGAGGGAGTTACACAGTCACAAGATGGAGGAGTACTGACTTTTTCCTCAAAATCAAAAAATTCTGACTTTTTCTCAAAATCAAAAAATTCTGACTTTTTCCCCAAATTCTGACTTTTTCTCAAAATTCTTACTTTCTCCTCAAAATCGCAAAATTCTTACTTTTTCCTCAAAATTATTACTTTTTCTCAAAATTCTGACTTTTTCTCAAAATTATTACTTTTTCTCAAAATCTCAAAATTATTACTTTTCCTCAAAATTATTACTTTTTCAAATAATTATTACTTTTTCTAAAAATTCGTACTCTTTCCTCAAAATTCATCATATGCCGCTAAAAAACACAATGTTGTGGTAACTCAATGGAAAATGATCAAAACAGCATGAGACTTCCGATGATGGCTAATGGTCCGGCCCTCAACAGCTTCACGTCAATTATGGGGTGTCATCATATGCCGTTGTCATGGCGACAGATCCCTCGCCATGAAACACGGTTTTGTCATAACTCGATGGAAAATCGTCCAAAAGGCACCAGACTTCAGATGATGGCTAATGGTTCAGCCCTCAACACCTCAATATGACAATGGTGAGTTTTCCTCAAAAGCTGTTGCCATGGCAACGCATCCCTCGCCGTTATGCACGATATTGCTATAACTCCCGTGTAAATTCTCAAAGTGTTCAAACTTCACAAGTGTGCTAACGGTCCAGCCCTCAAGACATATATGTGTCAGTTTTGAGATTTCGTCAAATGCCGTTGCCATGGTAACCAGGGTCGGCGTCATGGGGGGTCATTCGCGGGCCATGCCCCCCCAAATGAGTCACTGTGCCCCCCCAACGCAGGGTTGGCAAGACTTGCCACTTTGCCGTTTTTTTCTTTTTTTAATCATATAAGTGAAAACGTTTCTACTAAAGGTTTTTGTGTGTGAAATACATCAGAAATAAAGAATACAAATATAAAACACAGCCTGAGGTGTGCTCACTGCTGCTCTCTGATTGGTGTGTTGCTTGACCAATGACCCCCGACCTTTTTTTTGTTATCATTACGTGGCTGTGTGTTTAGATGAAAGCCCAGTGGCGATCTGTTCATCTGTTGTACTGATTATACAGTAAAGCCATCGAAAATAATATGATATACAGTACAGTACAAGTACATGGGTCTCTGTGTTTCATTCAAGCTTGGCTCTGTGTGGCACTCGAGCAAATTTTGTAAGTGCGCGAGTGGTAACGTGGAATGTTGTTAGCATCTGGTTAGCTAGCTATGCTAACGGATATAAAGGGCTGTTTCTACACCAAGGTGGAGGAGAGTCCTCTCCTGTCAGACTGAGAGGATCGTATAACGTCAGCTCAGTGAGGTAAGGACTCTCAGTGTTTAGATAGTTCACTTTAGTGTAAGTTATCTCAGTGGGTCTCAAACGGTTTGGTCACCATTTATGTAAGTATTTTCGAGGAATACCTTTATATGATCATTATAGTTGTTAAAGAGAGAATACATGACAAACGGGTATGAAATACTATTGGACAGTAACACAAGAATACAGTTTAAAAGGGGAGTGATTAGTAAAATATCCATAAAGAAAAAGTAAATCTGTGTACAGTTGTGTTTCATATGGATGCTGAGAGGTGTAGGCTATCCATAGATCTCTTCACTTTGCTCTCAAAGTGCACCAGATTGATGCATTTAACTTCAATATTTTAAAAAATAATCTTCCCGGGGGAGCATGCCCCCAGACCCTCCTAGAGGTTAGGTCCACTCCCACCTAAAACATGTTCACATGGATAGGATACTAAATACATTTGCATACTTTTTATATGGTGGCCTATGTCCATATCAAATCAAATCAAGTTTTATTTATATAGCACATTTTTCAACGATTTTTGGTCGAGCCAAAGTGCTGTACATATAATAAAAAATAACCTACAGTAAAGACACTTTACAACAAATACAACAGCGCAGTTTGTGCGGAATATCAGTATGAGAAAACGACACCCTCTGTCCTTATATGTTTCTGCTTTGGTGGTCGTGCCACAACCGTGCATGTATGCAGAAGTCATAGGTGCGCTATACAATAGCACTACACTCCTGCAATGTGTGTGAGAGACAATAGACTTTACAGCATGTTTTTTTTAATTGAAGTTGCGTTGGTGTTTGTGTGTTGGTTGTTGACGGCAGTGTGTGCCCCCCCTTGGTAAATGATTTCCCCCCCATTCGATTTGTTCTGGAGCCGACCCTGATGGTAACACAATGGTCGCCATGAAACACGGTTTTCGCATAACTCCATTGAACATGCTCCAAACGGCCCAAAACTTCACAGGTTAGATAACGATGCAGCCCTCAACACATCTAGGCGTATTATGGGGTGTGAAACTGACCGTTGCGGCCCGACCAAGCAAGGAGGCAGAGGCAGAACGTCCAAAATACAACCCGGTGTGGGCATTTATTACTCACAGGCACATGACACAGCCTCAATCTCGCTGTTCACGTGAGCACAGTCACCAGCCACAAGGATCTCACACACACCCCACAAAACAGGAAACACAGAGCCTAAATACCCACACTAATTAACCCAACAAGACACTGGTGACGGGGGAGGAGACAACACAGGGCACCAGGTGCACACAATCAACAGCAACAGACATGGGGAAAGGGAACACTTTTCAAAATATAACACATGTGCAATATACAAAGCCCGAGCCGTCAGTCCACAGTGACGAAGCCATCCTCGTCACATGGGGTGTCATCAAATTGCCGTTGCCATGGTGACAGATCACTCGCCATCCAACTCAATGTTTGTGTTACTGCTGTAACTCCTAAAGACATTGTCCGATCGGCCTAAAACTTCCCACGTTTGCTAATGGCCGACTCCGGAAAACTCCTGTGTGACACGTCGACGTGCGGACAACAGTCTGCGGAGCATTTCCACTTAGCGTAGTACCGGCTAGCGGGTACTATTTCAGTTTTTCTGGCCCCATAAAATCGAGGTTCTTTCCGGGCCAACAACCAGGCTGAGTATGCTAGATTAGAGAGAGAATCGCTGGCAAGGGGGCTACAACTACAACAAGATGAACATATTTGACCGTGATTTAATTGTAATACACGTTTCAAAATGATGCCGAAGTAACAACATACTGATACCGGTTAGTAAAAACCTGCTTTGACATGTCTGCAGACAGACGGCAGGCGAAAAACCTTTTTCAATGCGTGTTGTCGAAATGGAGATTGGCTAAGCTAACTCAGTATATGCTCCAACCGTCTACACTCACAACAACGGCCTATACAGACATAAATAAAGCAGCGACTGTATTCGCCATGACACAGGCAGTCTGTGGTTTGTACTTATTTAACTTTTGTCTAGTTTCTGAACAGATATGAGGAGCTGTGAGCGTGAGTGCTAACAGCTAACGGCTGATGTTGTTTTTCTGGGGTTCTCGAAGATGACGTCACGGCTGTCACTAGAGCCTACATTTCCCAGAATGCACCTTGACATCAACCACTCTGACATTATCAGGGTTATTTTGAGGATAGAAAAAATGCACTCATACAGATACTTATGTTGCCCTGTAAGTATGTTTGAAGCAGCTGAGTTTTTCTCTAACTCTAGTTGACAAAGGAAGGAATGAGATAAAAGAAAATAAAAAGAGAAAATGTTTTAGATCTTTGAGTTCATCTCATGAAAAATGGGAGCAAAAACAAAAGTGTTGCATTTATATTTTTGTTCAGTGTATCTCAGACATGAGTCTTTCAGCTCTTCACAGTCCAACTGTTGTTTTGAGCTGCTCTACTATCATGAAACTTGGTTGAACAACTATTAAAACAGAATTAAGAAAAATATTTTTTAAGATATACACAAAATAACCATTTCTCTCAAATATTGTTCACAAATCTGAAAAAATCTGTGATAGTGAGCACTTCTCCTTTGCCGAGATAATCCATCCCACCTCACAGGTGTGAGGTGGGATGGAAATCATATTAACACAAATCATATTAAAAAACTAATCTAATTTAGAGAGGACAATAAAAGTTTTAGGTGACTTAGTGAGTGAAAATTAATGGCTTTTTATTTAGTTTGAGCGTATTTCTTTTTAAAACTAACTCCACCCCCCTATCTTTCTGGCATAGGATAACAGCAAAATCAGGGGGTGACAGGAGGGGGGAGAGAAAGCAGGGGAGAAGAAGGGGTGTGAGGGGGGCGGGGGGAGACAGTCTCACACATCCAGACTCTATTTGTCATGAAGAGACTCAGACGGAGGGTCTGAACCCGGCACAGATACTGCATCCGTTTCTTGATTGGCTCTCCCGACGGATGGCGGTAAGTTGTCACAGGCTCGCTGATTAAACCCATATCGAGATGCGTCTCAACAAAGGGCTGTGAGGGGACGGGGGCGAGACAGTCTCACACACAACTTCAAAGAGACTGCCTTAATCAACATCTAGATTAACATCAGAGGCTTATAACACGCCGGTGTGAAATCACACCTGCCTGTTATAACACCTCAACCCTCACATCAAAGGATTAGACAACAAAGGCGCTACACAGGGGGGCATTTCACACCTACGTGTGATGACACATCACCCCTCACATCAAAGGATCTCACACCTACGTTTGATATCACACCTAGGTGTGACATCCACCTCGAACAAAGGGAGGCGGGACTTAGCTCATTAGCATAATTGGGGGCG